TAATACAATGCAGGAATGTAAAATATAAATGTAAAACAAACGAGCATGAATGTAAAACATAAAAACAAGATAAAAATGGAGGATTCTCCATTATCGAACATCATCTTCTACCTTCTTTCTTCACTATGAGAGCTTTATGGCTGAGAATGAGAAATGAGAGAGGGTTTTTCTCTATATGACAGAAAGGGGAGGAAATATATGGCTATTGAGATGATATTTGGGTAGCATAAGATTTGACTAGAACAACCTTATGGGTAGAGCCTCTTCTCTTGAATGGGAAGGGTGATGTCCTATTTATAGAGTCTTTTGGAGAGCCTTTTCTTCTCCCAAAATCGATTTGGGATCAAAGACCATTATATTGGGAGTCTTGGTCCGGAATTCATATTTTGAATTCGAATCGATTTAGTCGCGTCTGGAGATGCAGCTCGGCTATTTTTTTGTTATTTTGGGGGTAGATGCGTCTACGGGCGCGGCTAAGTCCTTTTTGTGTTAAAAGTAAGGTAGCCATATTTTTGGGCGCGAATTATTGTGTTTTCTAGGCTGCCACGCTGACAATCCCCATGAATATGCTTCTTTTGGGATTTTTTTTTAATTTGAAAATTGATGATGTCAACTGCATGACATAATCGGATGACATCTAGAGGGTTCAATTGGATGGTTTTGCCCATATGGAACACCAAAATATACGTTTTAGGGTTCATCTTGGGTTAGAAGCTCCGGATACATTGGCGAAGTCAGTTTCCTAGAGAAATGCTTTGATCAAAGTGCTCTAGTGTGAAATGATTATTTTGCCATTTTCCTTTAAATTTGGGTGATCGGATGCTACGGACCTCCGATCGGGACGAGCCTTAAGTGCTCTCATAAGTTTTTGGGCACTCTTAAAATAATGTCAGTGCTGGATTTACGATCTGACGGTCGAAATTTTTTAGAGACCAACCGGAAAGGGTTGGGTAAAATGCGGTGTCTACACTTTTTATTGTAAGCTTCCTTTAAGTTTTCAGACTTGACTCTTAGATTCTCATGACCTTAAAATTCATGGTTGGCATTTTCTTTGACCCAAACCAAATCTTTGTTTAGTCCCCACGACCTTAGAAGACATTAAATTTATCTTGGCTTTAGTTTGATTGATGGTTAGGCTTAAACTCGTTTTATTAGCTGAGTCGACTTGTGATTAAGAAGTTTTGTTAGCCTTGACGTGATGTGATTTTGATCGCCATAATAAAATAAGGGTTAATTACATTTACACCCCTTAAGATTTCAATCTATTACAGATTGATGATAACTATGACAAAACCTACATAAACATCCCCATCAGTTGACGTCATAAAGTTAAGTGGTGAAATGTTAATCTTGCCCGCACTTTTAATATTTTTTTTATTCCAAAAAAAAAAAAAATGACATGTCAAATGACCTAAATACCCATGCTAAAAAGAAACGAACATACAACTCTCTCTACCCAACACCTGAAAAAGAAACAAAAATACAACTCTTTCTCCCCGCCACTTGCTCTATTTCTCTCTTTCCACCACCTACCTCTACCATTATCATTTTTTTTCTAACATCCACCTCCAATCTATTTCTTTCCCCCTTTCTTTTAATCACCCACCCCACCAACCTCCACCACTCCAGCTACCCACCTCGCTCTCCCTCTCCCTCTCTTTCCACCATCCACCATTCCAACCACCCAGATTTGATCCTACCAAAGCTACCATCATCACAACGACCTCTTCTTTTCTCAGATCAACCTGCAAACTCTCCTTCAATTCTCACAGTTTAGCAAACCCAGCTCACATCTACTACCGATCCACCATTACTATTGTCACATTCTATATCGTCGAGGAAAAGAAGCCCAAATCCAGTTCATCCCTCTCCAATTTGGTAAATTTTTTACTAAACTACTTTAATTCTCAAATCTAAATATTTTCCTTCTAAACCCACTAAATAATTGCTTTGATGTTTTATATATGCAAAACACACACACACACACAACACATACACACATATGTGTTGTATAAATTCACTTATATATATATATATAGTAATTGATTAAAAAGAATGATGAAAATCTTTATGTTAACGCATCATCGTCAATTTGGTGTAATGAATGAAATTTATCATTTTCTTCTATGAAGTTCTAAATCAAATCATTTTGTTTTTCATATTTCAATTGACAATATTTTTCAACTATTTTGCTTATACATCATTGAATTTTATGGAAAATTGAAGGAATGAGTAGCGAGTTGGACGATTATGTGATCTGCATAGTTGATTAAGATTTAGTAACATTTATACACAATTCTCTGCATGTATTCTCTATAATATATGGGCATTACTTAGTGATCTAGTTGGTACAACACTCATCTCCCCGAGCGGGTGTACGCTCGTGTTCGAGTCCCCCATCCCCCTAGTTTACCAGCATAAAATAGTAATATTTGTTATATATTACATATATATTCAAACTATAATTTAATCGATTAACTGTATATTCAAAATTTGCAAATTTATAATATTCATTTATATTATTTATTTTTGACATGCAATATGAACATATAACATCTAAGTTTTGAAAACATTGAATTTTGCAAATTTAATTTTATATTTAATATGCTTATAATATCTACTATTATACATTTAAGGAAAAAAATTATAGGAAAAATTAATTATATAATATATAGAGAGATATTTAATAGCATTTATGTTGAATGAAATATAATTTATAGTTAAATTGAAAAATGATACTTTTGTCCATACGAAAGTGATTATAGGGGTAAGTAAGTCAATTCATGAGTTAAAGAGTCCTTTTCACAAAGTCAAGGGGTAAAATTTTCATTTTTCATGGCATCTGAGATATAAAAAGGCCTACAATAGGGGGTTAGTACCACGTGGCAAAAGTTGCATCTACTTGTGATAGATTGAAACCTCTGGGGATTTCATACTGCGTTTGGTGTGCAGGAATAGAATGGAATGCAAGTGAGAATGGAATGAGAATGAAAATGGAATGGAATGGCCATTCTTATATAATTTTTTTAAAAGAAATGGTTGTGGAGGTGGAAAGTGGTAGTGGTGTTGAAAGGCAACGACGGAGGTGGTAGAAGGCAACAGGGTATTGGTAGAAGGCAATGGTAATGATGGAAGACATTAGTGGTGTAGGTGATGATGGTGGAAGACAGTGGCAGTGGTGTGGTGGTGGTGGAAGACAATAGTGGTGGTAGAAGGTGGCGGTGGCGGAAGTGGAAGACGACAATGGAGGTGGTAATGGTGGAAGAAGGTGGTGGTGGTGGAAGGCGATGAAGGTGGCGGTGGCGGCGGTGGTGGTGATGGAAATTGGTGGAGGTGGTGGAGGTGGAGATGGTGATGGAAGTCAGTGGCGGTGGCAGTGGTGATGAAAGTCATTGGTGATGGTGGTAGAGGTGGAGGTGGTAGTAGTGGTGGTGGTGGAAGTCGGTGGGGTTAGAGGTGGTGATGACTGTGGTAGCAGTAATGGTGATGCTGGTGGGGTAGTGACAATGACGGTGGTGGAAGGCGGTGGAGGTGGCGGTGGTTGAAAGAAGTAGTGGTGGAAGTTGATTGTGGTGGTGGCCACAGTGGAGCTGGAGGTGGCGGTGACTAAAGGCAATAGAGGTGGCGGTGGCGTGGTGGTTGAAGGTGACAACAATAATGGTGATGGTGGTGCTGGTGGTGGAAGGCAATGGAAGTGGTGGTGATGGTGAAAGTCGGCGATGGTTGTGGTGAAAGGTAGTGGTGGTAGTGGTGGTTTTTGAACTTGAACCATGAGAATTTTTTAGAAATTTTATTTTATTTTATTTTTTTAAAAAATTACTTGAGGATGAAATGATCATTTCATATGTTTAGTTGTGAAATGAATTTTTATTCTAGTAAAATATTCATTTACATTTTAAATTCCATAACAAACAAAGAAATAACTAAAATGAGCATTCTATTCTTTCCATTCCATCTTTGCACACCAAACATAGCATCGGTGCAATGAACCCATAAAAGAAAATTTTCTTTGTTATCATGATTGAGACTTTAACCATGAACCATAAACCATGACTAGAGAGTAAAACTTTTTAATGATCATTTCATATATTTAGTTGTGAAATGAATTTTTATTCTAGTGAAATATTCATTTACATTTTAAATTCCATAACAAACAAAGAAATAACTAAAATGAGCATTCTATTCTTTTCATTCCATCTTTGGACACCAAACATAGCATCAGTGCAATGAACCCATAAAAGTAAATTTTCTTTGTTATCATGATTGATACTTTAACCATGAACCATAAACCATGACTAGAGAATAAAACTTTTTAATGACAGTCGAAACTCTTGACCATGGTTAAAAATAAAATTTATTCTTGAACATGGTTTAGAGTACTCCTGGACCATGGTTAGAAACTCTTCATATACTCGACCATATTGGTTTTCAATTAAGAATTATGACCATAATTGGTTGCAGGCTAAACCTTTACCCTGTTTAAGATGAAAATAACGCATTTATGCATAACTAAGTATATGGATAAAATAATGTCATCTATTAAATTATTAATTTATTCTTATTTTAACTTGATTTATTCTATTTGATCACATAAATAAATATATACTTAACAAATAAATAAATAAATAAATAATTTCATCAAAACCACTCAATCCATATTTATGTGATCATTTCCACAATTTTTTTTTAAATTAACTTTATTGTTTACTAAAGCAATTTCTAAAATCTTACCAGCCTAAGAGGTAAGTAAGTTCATAACATAGTCTGTACCAGACCTACCAAAACTTACCCCAAAAAATAGAAAAAACACAGCTTGTGGCTGTGGAATCATTTCCACATTCCTCCGTACCCACCAAAAACTTGCAAAAGCCTTCCCGCGTGAAGACCCACGCGTTTACTCTCTTTGTCTCTCTCGTTCTCCGTCTAAACTTCCTCGCGAAGCAAAATTACACTGTTCTGTACTTGCTACCAATATATATATATATATATAATAAAATATAAACAGTACACACAGTACTCAGCTCTACTCAAGCCAAGCTTCACATTGCTTCTTTTCTTCATCACCTCTCTCTCTTTCAATCGCATTGGTTGTTCATCTTTTCTGTCTAAGATGGTTTCGACGTTTGGTTGATCGACTCGAAAGGTTAGTAGGGTTCTCAAAATTGTGCAATTTGGTCTTATTGCGATCACTTTTTTTTTTTTTTAATTTTTTTGCCATCGATTTCAGTTTTGTAGTAATCGTAATATAATCTTGATTTTCTGTAAAAAAATTTGAGCTTTTGTTGTTGATCAATTGATACTAATTTTGACAACCGTTTGCTTTCTGAGAAAACGATGGAAACTGTCAGGAAAGAAAGGGAATTTGAATAGAATTCTGGGTTATTATTCTTCATCTATGCCAAATTAAAAATTTTGTTAGTCTTAGGTAGAGTGAAGTTTTGGGTTGGTGCGAAATGAATAAAATTTCTCATCTCTTCATACATGAAAACAGAAATGAGTTTATGCCCATGATTTGTCTAAATTAACGACCAATTCAGAATATTTTTGCTCTTTGTCCCCTTCCACCTTCTATTTTAGCTTTAGGGACAAATCATTGTAGGTGTTGAACTTGTTATTTTTGGAAATTTCTGTTCTTTCTGTTTATTATTTGTTTTGGGACTTTCCCTTTTGCCAAACATCTTACATTAATATTGAAGAATTTGAAATATATTGCAATTAAATGAATATACTTGTTAATTTTGGAAAGTTTTGTTCTTTCTGTTCATTATTTGTTTTGGGAATTGCCCTTTTTGCCAAACATCTTACATTGATTTTAAAGAAGTTATAATATATTGCAATTAAATTAATAAATTGGTTTTCATGGTTGACTCTTTAATAACTAAGGAATGATTCCAATATATTTTCTTTCATATATTAAAATTGATGTTTTGATTATATGGAATTTGGACTAGTTTGAATTGGAGATGATATTTTGGAACGAAATGGATAATAGTCTTGGCAATTTGATCGCGGAAGATGTTTGAAATGAATGTAGCAAGACAAATACATTACAGGATTTTACAGGATTTACTTGAATAACTCAGAACATTATGTGTGCTCGGTCCCCTTTACTTGCATTTCATTTCATCTACCTGTTCTGTCGCTTTTTTACCTCTCTTACCGGTTTAGAAAATTAGAAGTAAAATGAGATTTATTAATTAAGTTTGTTCTCTTATTGAAAAGTTTATATAAGCTATTAAATGGAGCAAAAGACGGGATTACATAATTTTGAATCACTAACAATGCACGATGACTTTTCTAGGCTTAGTTGAACATAGGTTTTGAGTTTCCTACTAATTAGCTGTGTGAATTAACTAAGTTAAAGAAAATGTAAATTGATCGTAAGGTGATTATTTTTGTTGATGGATTGTATTTGTTCTTATCATTTATTCTCTGCAAGGAAAGAAGATTTAATTAAATTTTGTGTTATATTTGATGTTTTTATGGTTTTCTGTGAAATGGAAAAAATTGCTTCAGCTGAGTCAAATATGTATATAAGGTACTATACTGTTTGTCCCAAATGATGAGAAACCACATTCTAAAGTTTATTTATTTATTTTTCATTTTTACACTATCTCACAACCAAATGCAGTATAATTGTTATAAGACAACATTTTTTATGGTTCAAGGCACAATGTTGGTGTTTCTCTTACACATGATGGATTTTGTGTTAGGTGGAATTGGAAATTATACAGATTAAGTGATTGGGACGTTGGAAATTTTGTGAGGAGAAAGATGGCGTGGGAGGGAGCTGAAAATGACATGGTGGTAACTCAAGTTAGTGTTGGTGGGTTTGATGAATATGTCACTGCAAAAATGATTTTGGATTACTTTCAAGATAAAATTGGACTTGTTTGGAGGTGTAGATTGAAGACTTCTTCAACCCCTCCAGATTCATACCCAAATTTTGAGATCGATGTCGCAAATGTTCAAAGAACAAATGAATATGAAAAGGTGGAACCTCATGCCTTTGTGCATTTTGCAACTCCCGATTATGCGAAGTCAGCTCTAGATGCTGCAGGGCGTTGTGAGCTTATATTGTTCAAGAATCCACTTAAAGTTAGTTTGGGGCCTCAAAATCCACGTCGCATGAGTAAGTGGAGAATAGATAATGTTCCTTTTAGATTTTCTGATGTCAAGGTTGAGATCGGACTCTTGGTTAGCCGAGACGAGTTCTTTGTTGGCTGGAGAGGGCCTGGTAATGGGGTTGATTTTCTTGTGGATCCCTTTGATGGGACATGCAAATTCGTGTTCACCAAGGATACTGCTTTCTCCCTCAAAGGCACAAACAAGCATGTGGTAATGAAGTGTGATTTCAAGGTTGAGTTCTTGGTAAGAGACATCAACGAGATCAAACAAATTGATGATATGTCATCTTTAATAATTTTATTGCAGCTGGCTTCATCTCCGCTTCTTTACTATAGAACTGCAGATGATGATATAGAGAATTCAGTTCCATTTGATTTGTTAGATGATGATGATCCGTGGATCCGAACCACAGATTTTACACCTAGCGGGGTCATTGGTAGGTGTAATACCTATAAGATGTCAATTTCACCTCGCCACGGTTTGAAGCTGAATAAGGCCCTGAAATATCTCAAGGAACGGAGGGTACAAACTGAAAGGTCTAGGCAGCAGCTTAGGATACAGGATGAACCTGATTTTGGGATGCCCATGGCAGATCCTTTCTTTTGTATTCAATACAAGGATGGTGTGTCATTTAAAATCATGTTTTTGGTTAATGCTGTCGTGCACAAAGGTATCATTAACCAACACCAGTTGTCGGACAGGTTTTTCAATCTGCTGAGAAACCAACTGGAGGAGGTAAATGTAGCTGCATTAAAGCACATATGCGCTTACAGGCACCCCCTGTTTGATGCCTATAGGAGGCTGAAAGTTGTCCAGGAATGGTTGATGAAATATCCTAAGTTTCTCCAGACACCTAAAGAGTTGGATGATATTGTTCAAGTTAGGAGGCTGGTTATTACGCCAACCAAAGCCTACTGTCTTCCACCAGAGGTTGAACTTTCCAATAGGGTTATCAGGAATTATAGAGAAGTTGCTGATCGGTTTTTAAGGGTTACCTTCATGGATGAAGGCATGCAGACACTTAATAAGAATGTTCTTTCCTATTATACTGCTCCTATTGTTAGGGACATTACAGCAAACTCTTCTCCGCAGAAAACCTCAATGTTCAGAAGGGTGAAGAGTATTCTGAGCGAGGGGTTCCACTTATGTGGTCGGCGATACTCGTTTTTGGCCTTCTCAGCTAATCAATTGAGGGACCGTTCTGCCTGGTTTTTTGCTGAAGACCGGAGAATTAGTGTGGATGACATAAAAAATTGGATGGGAAAGTTTACAAACAGGAATGTTGCGAAGTGTGCTGCTAGGATGGGACAGTGTTTCTCATCCACTTATGCCACAGTTGAAGTTCCATTCAGTGATGTTGACTCAAAGCTTCCCGACATAGAGAGAAATAATTATGTTTTCTCTGATGGGATTGGTATGATAACACCTGATCTTGCAATGGAAGTTGCAGAGAGATTGCAGTTGACAGTGAACCCTCCGTGTGCTTATCAGATTAGATATGCTGGTTTCAAAGGGGTTGTTGCCTGTTGGCCATCAAAAAATGATGGTATCCGGCTTGCCTTGAGGAAAAGTATGAACAAGTTTGAATCCAATCACAAAATTCTTGAAATCTGTTCTTGGACTCGGTTCCAGCCTGGATTCTTAAACAGGCAGATAGTGACGTTACTTTCTACTTTGAATGTTCAAGATGAAATATTTTGGAGAATGCAGGAGTGTATGATTTCTAAACTAAATCAGATGCTTGTAGACACGGATGTGGCTTTTGAGGTTCTTTCTGCTTCATGTGCCGAGCAAGGAAATACTGCAGCAATAATGTTAAGTGCAGGTTTCAAACCTCCAAATGAACCTCATCTGCGGGGCATGTTAACTAGTATAAGAGCTGCCCAGCTTGGGGACCTCAGGGAAAAGTGTAGGATCTTTGTTCCGTCAGGAAGGTGGTTGATGGGCTGTTTAGACGAGTTAGGGATACTTGAACAAGGCCAGTGTTTTATTCAAGTATCAAATCCTTCGTTGGAAAATTGTTTTGCAAAGCATGGCTCTAGGTTTTCTGAAACACAGGCAAATCTACAAGTGATTAAAGGTACTGTAATAATTGCAAAGAACCCATGTCTTCACCCTGGTGATTTGCGGATCCTGGAGGCAGTCAATGTTCCTGAGTTGAACCATCTTTTTGATTGTCTGGTTTTCCCTCAAAATGGAGATAGACCACATGCAAATGAAGCATCAGGAAGTGACCTTGATGGTGATCTCTACTTCGTGACGTGGGATGAAAATCTTATTCCTCCGAGTAAGACGAGCTGGATGCCAATGGAATATGCGCCTGCAGAAGTTAAAGAATTGCCACGTGCAGTGAATCACAGGGTAATTATATATCTTTGAAATAATATTCTTAATCATTGTTAATTTAGTTATTGAAATCATTATTATATTACATTTAATTGATACTTTTGATGTATATAGTTTTAAAATTACTACTATTATATTAGTATATATATCTTTGAAATAATACTCTTAATCTTTGTTAATTTAGTATTGAAATCATTATTATATTACATTTAATTGATACTTTTGATGTATATGCTTTTAAAATTACTACTATTATATTAGTATTTAAATCATTATCATTATTATTTTTTCCTTAGTTGGTACTAACACACACATGCCTCCATTGAGGCTCGAACCCCTAACCTCCCTTTGGGAAATAGAGGCTTGGTACCGCTAGGCCACTGGCCTGGTGGTATCATTATTATCTTTCAATCATTGTTAATCATTACCAGTATGCTATGATGTATTCTCTTTCTTCATACCGCTTACTTGATTTCTTCTCTTTAGTTAACAACCTTCTATCATTTGGTGATGTGACGTTGTGTCTTGAATTTGGTGCCGGGTCATTGCAACCTGCTTTCGACCCGACGAACCGTTGGATGAGCTTTGTGTGGGTTGGGGGTTCGGGGGCTTGGCCCCGAGGATAAATTTTGACCTGTTTTTGCTCATGAGTCGTGGACCCTAATTAGTACTCTCTTGTAGCCTTATATATAAGGGTGTTTAGGGTTTGGAATGGGTTGAGAGAGAGACTGAAATTCGTACATAATAGAAAGTGAGGGGCTGAAACTTGTAATCTCCGATTTTACACATAGTGAAGACTTTCGCCGAATCTCCGCCGTGAACGTAGGCTTTGCCAAACCGCGTATTAGTCACACATTTGTCAATTCATATAATTTACTGAAGTCTAGAGACTAAAATTGGTTATAAATTCTTTCATCTATGTATATTCTGTCTGGAATCACGTGTTGGCCACAGAGATGGACTTCTGACATCTATTATGTGTTTACAGGACATAATAGATTTTTTCTCTAGGAACATAGTAAATGAGAACCTGGGTGCAATCTGCAATGCCCATGTGGTTCATGCTGACCTCAGTGAATATGGAGCATTGGATGAAAAGTGCATAAAATTGGCAGAGCTTGCTGCCACAGCCGTTGATTTTCCAAAAACTGGAAAGCTCGTGACCATGCCTTCTGAACTTAAACCAAAATTGTACCCTGACTTTATGGGGAAAGAGGAGTTTCAGTCCTACAAGTCAAAGAAAATTTTGGGTAAACTCTATCGCCAAATCAAAGATGCGTGTGACAAAGATGAGGTTGCATCTTCGGAGCTGACATTTTTTCCTGAAGATATTCCTTATGACACAGACCTTGAGGTTCCAGGATCCACTGATTTCATCGATGATGCATGGACCCACAAGTGCTCTTATGATGGGCAGTTAAATGGTCTTTTGGGACAGTATAAAGTGAACAGGGAGGAAGAGGTTGTGACTGGGCACATTTGGTCCATGCCGAAGTACAGTAGCAAGAAGCAAGGGGAACTGAAAGAGAGACTGAAGCATGCTTACAGTGCCCTGCGGAAAGAGTTCAGGAAATTTTTTGAGCGGATGGATCCTGATATTGATCAGCCTTCTGACGAAGAGAAGAATGCCATTTATGAAAGAAAGGCATCTGCATGGTATCAGGTCACTTATCATCCTAGTTGGCTGAAGAAGTCACTGGAGTTGCAAGAGCCAGATGGCGCTGGGGAGACAGTGAGGTTGAGTTTTGCTTGGATCACAGCCGATTACCTTGCTCGTATCAAAATTAGGCGCAGGGAAATCGGCAGTATTGACCACATTAAGCCAATCGATTCCCTTGTGAGGTACCTTGCTGATCGGATATGATCTATAATTGCAGTACTTTCTTTTCTAGTTGTCTTTAACTTTTGGCTGCAAGACTCTGGTTATTTCGAACTTCTTGGCTGCAAGGCCACTCTGCCATTGTTGAAAGGTCACCTTTCATGTTTTGTTATGCAAACTACTTGCTACTGTTGCCCGTTGATGCTGTAAGTTACATTTTCTGCTAGTTTTGTTAGATTTTTGAAACTGTTGCCCCTTTATTTGCAGATCAGTCTTTCTTGTTAAATGAACTGAGGTTGTAACCAGTTTAGATCTTTTACTAGCTTGTTTTCTTTATCAGTTTATTTTGTGCATGGGGCCTTAGTAGTTGCTTTAGACTATTATTTTTCTTACCTAGCATATGAGCTTGCAGTTCAAGATCTTGAATAACTGACAAGGTAACTTAATGTTACTTGAGATGAGAGAACCTAGCTTAGCTATGGAATTTTTGGGCTCAGCTCGATGAGGGAGATTAGATCCACAAACTTTGAAGTATCTCAAAAGTGCTAACTACAACCCCAGTAACTTGCTGTTGCATTCTTAAAAAGAGAAGGTGAAGGGGAAGTCTTCTTTCCCAGGCAATGTCTGATTAGCTAAAAACTAGTAATCACTTGTTCACTTATTCTCCTGTGTGGATAACTTGATGAGCTTAGTTGGTGTACCCTAATCACCCAGAGTAGTCTTGTTGGGCCAAGTTAAATGGGCTGTTGTTCATGGGCCTAATGAGTTAAGCTTGACGTTGCTTGGGCACAACCTGTTTATTTAATGAATTAAAAATGAGCACGAGCTCATTCATTAATTTGATAATGAACACGAATCGAGTCCTTAAAGGGTTGAGTTTGAACTGTCTACGAACATTTTGGTTAATTTGCAACCCTAGGGTATGGCTGCTGAGTTTTAGTGGATATATTTATTGCACTGATGGGTACCATAACTTGGCAATTAAGTTACATCTTGCAACCATCCTTGGTAGATTGCTATGCACAGCCATGCATTGCCCCTTCATGGTAATTTGAAGTTGGGGCATGTTACTAGTGAATTTCCTTTTTATTTTATTGCCTCTACGCCATTATTTGAAGTTGGGGCATTGGTATTCTTTTTCTTTTTCTTTTTTGCCTCCTTTCTTGACTTATTCTTGTTCCCTTCTTCTTTCAGGATGGTGGAACAATTTCTCATTAGAGCTAAGTGTATTTTATTTTATTATTATTATTTTTTAATGAAAACAGTTTGGTGTTCTCAAAAGGTTAATGTTTTGGATATAAGGTTGGGATTGTTGTACTATAGCTAACAAGTGCCTTGTCTTACTGCTAATTTGGGTCCATTGGTCCATTGTCTTTAAAAAAATAAAATAAAAAAAGTAATAAAATGAAAATTGTACTAAATATTTTAAACTTGCTTTAACCTTGGAATTTTGTTTGGAAGAGGTGATGGCTTGACGCAACCATATATTTTGCTCTAAATCTTCGTTTTCTTCTGCCTTTTTGATGGAGAGGAGCAGAGGGTTGGCACTATTGTGTTCTCGTTAAGTATAAGAGACACCATAAGTATTCAGGAAAAAATTAAAAATTCAGTTAAAAAAAAAAAAAGAGACACCATAAGTATTCAGGAAAAAATTAAAAATTCAGTTAAAAAAAAAAGAGAGACACCATAAGTAAGGAAAAACATATATTTTAGAGTTGCGGGAAGTTTCTGGAGGATACAGATAGGTCCCCTTTGTTAGTAGTATCCACATTTCTGTTTCTTATAGAGTGCCATGCGTTGGAAGACGTATGTCCATTTCCATACAGTTTATTTCTGATTTATTTGGTGCCAGTGTAATGAACATAGTTCTAGGGTCCTTTCTGAGTTTTTTTAGTCTGAAATTGTCTGCTATGCTTTATAATTTGTAGCTGTCTGGTCGTTTTTTTTTTTTTCAGTTTCATTTTCTTTGCTGTAGACTTATATAATGTGTTGGCTCATAATGAAGTCATTATCAGTTACAAAAAAGAAACATGAAGAGAAAAAAGAGGAGCAATACACAGCTGAAAAAGTTAGGAATATAGAAGATTTAGTAAATTGATTGAAAATATACTTTTTTTTCTTTTGTTTATCAAAATTTATGTGGGTATCTAATTGACAGAACAAAGTTAATCAATTAAAAAGATGGGGCATCTTACTCATTCTATGAGCAATTTTATATATTTTGCACTATACCATGCTTAGTTTACATTAATTAGAGACTATAGTGGAAGTTGTAACTGCAAAGGTCTTCTATCAACTATATGATGAAAAGCAGTAGGGTCAGTAAAAAAATGTGGTTTAGGCTTCTATATTCAGAAAACAGCCTGCGGAATTTTCTTTTATTCATTTATTTATTTTTTGTGGATTGTGGGATTTAGGTCACGACGCTCCATCTTATTAGATTTTAGAGCCCAAGATTAATCACTCATCTGAGACAGAGTCTTAGAGTCAAATCTGAGAAGTCCTCTTCTTAAGCAATTGCCTTCGCCAACTTGGAGATCTGTGAAGCCTATCTGCAGGGTTTTCTTGGGTTTGCTTTATTAGTGAAGTTGAACCATTATCTTCAAAGCTTGTGCCCAAATATGTAGGAACTGGCCTGTAGAGCTTTGCAAGCATAAACAAAAACTGAAAACCAGTACAAAACAAATATTTAGACAGACAAGTATAGGCCTAGTTTACTACAATACTTCCTTTTCAAAAAACTATTACATTGACAGCATTGTTGGAAAGGAAGTAAAAATGTATTGATTGGCATAGAATTTTGGGATTTTAATACAATAGTCCATATATATTCATTATGGAAATCATTTCTTTTCCTTCTAGCATTCTGCATAGACAGAATATATATTTTTGGTAATTCACTATCATGCGTAGTCAATCTAGGTTTTAAAGATTAATGGGATTTCAGTTCTGTCTAATAATGAAATGTAAGCATGCCTTGGTACATGGGCAGCAAGTTGGATTTTTTATTTTTTATTTAGAATTTCTCATAATGGAAGCTACTGTACTCAGCCATGATCCCAGCATCCAAAACTTTTTGCTGCATCAATGACTATTTGGTAAATTTTCCCTATGGCACGATAGAATAAACTTAAAAGATCAAGCCAAACCCATTATGTTGTTGAAAAGGTTGATTCAAAGTATAGAATTTTAGTTTTAAAGGAAGTTGCTATTTTCAGTCAAAATGGCTGCATCTAAAGTTCTTTCTTTCCCATAAATAGGTGCCACATATGTGAGGTGGCGGAACGTGGATAACATTTTGGATTGTGGAAATAATCCTTCCCTTTTTAATTTTCTTTTACATGCATATATGTGGGATTTATCTTTTTTCTTTTTTGGCCAAACAGTGTGATACAGCCTATACCATCCTTGCCAATAACCTCCCTAAATCTTATTTGTTTAGGACTACAAATTTTCTAAAAAAGCAAGAGATATGACTGCATATGGATGAAACACATTATTATTTATGAGAGTGGTCTGACCTGCTCTCAGTGTAAGCTTGCATTTTTTACCATTAGATCGAGAAGATAACATAAGAATGCCCTTATTGTAGCTTTGTCCTTTTGTTTGTAGGAAATATTATTCTAGCCCAACCAGCTATAGCTGACTTGGTCAGAGATGAATTTTTATTTATTTATGTATTCATTTTCAAGAATTAAGAACTGTTAATAAGCCCAAAAGGAGTCTTAAATGATGAGGCTTCCCCAGAAAGACTTTTCATCTAAAGCTTGTATCTTTAGTTGATGACTGCATATGGATGAAACGTATTATTTATTATGAGTGTCCTCAGACCTGCTCTCATTGTAAGCTTGCATCTTTAACCATTAGATCGAGAAGATAACATAAGAATGCCCTTATTGTAGCTTTGTCCTTTTGTTTTTAGGTAATTCTATTCTAGCCAAACCGGCTATAGCTGACTTGGTCAGAGGTGATTTTTTATTTATTTATGTATTTATTTTCAAGAGTTGAGAACTATTAATAAGCCCAAAAGGAGTCTGAAATGACAAGGCTTCCCCAGAAAGACTTATCGTCTAAAGCTTGTATCTTTAGTTGATGACTGCATATGGATGAAACATATTATTGGTTATGAGTGTCCTCTGACCTGCTCTCATTGTAAGCTTGCATCTTTAACCATTAGATCGAGAAGATAACATAAGAATGCCCTTATTGTAGCTTTCTCCTTTTGTTTATTCGGTAATTATATTCTAGCCGAACGGACTATAGCTGACTTGGCCACAGATGAATTTTTATTAATTTCCATTAGGATATACATAACAGAACGTATTCCATCTCTCATTTCTTGTTGTTCCTGTTGCTAGGCCTCCTTCTGGATGGTGTTCGGTATTAGAAATTGGACAGGTAAGGAAATTTCTTGTTGAGTTACGTACAAATAGTAAATCGAGGTATTTATTTTCGAGAGCTGAGAACTGTTAATAAGTCCAAAGGAGCCTTAAATGTAAGGCTTCCCCTGAAAGACTTCTGGAGTAGTTAAATTGATGAAACACCATTGATCACACCAAGCACCTACTTTCACTTGAACCACCAGAGTGTGAGACCAATGAATTGTTTGGCTCACAACTTTGAAAATGATGGTACTTTATTAGATGAGCGAATGATGTATACAGGCATTGACGAGTAACCAACCTCTTTATGTTGTGCCCACTTTATGTCAACTTTTTCTTTATGGTTTTGTTAATGGCTTCTTAGCATGATTCCATTGAATCTCTACCACGTGGACCTCTGTTTTTCCAGTAGTAGAAAGTTCTTATCTGGTTGTCTCAGAAAACTTTGAATTTAATTCTGTGGTCTCAGTTCTTGAAATGGATTATCTGTCAATTAATGCTGGACTTGAATATAGGAACAGATATCTGTACCATTCATGGCTTGGAGTGCTTCCTGATAAAAAAACCCATATAACTGCTCAGGAAAATCTTTCTACTGTTATTGCCAAAAATGATGCCTCTACACACACACACACACATGTAAATGTATTATATTGATCTCATTGTTGCAGTAGATGATAGCATGGGATAAATTTAGATCTATTGATAGATTATACATCTATAAATGTTTCTAAAAAATTCTTTTGGTAATTTAAATTAATATCGAGTGTTGTTGAAATTTTTTTCACCAGGTTCAGGCGTTAAAGTAATGGTTAAAAGAAAAAAATGGGTGTCATTTACCATGTAAGTGACGGTGTTCATCAAAAGCTTGATTAAGAATATTAATTTGTAAAAGCAGTGACTATAACATGGGGACACAGAAAAGGTCATTATTTTTTGTTCATGAGATATAATTCGAAGCAGAGATGTTATTTTTCTTCCCACTTTATAATATATATATATATATATATTTTGTGGAAAAATGAAATTATATATGTGTATATATATTTATTGAAAACATGAGAGCAACTATATGTGTGTGTGTTGTCATCAGTTATTTGGATTAGGTACAGAGTCTAAAGACAACAGCTTGCCAATGTTGTCCGTCTAATTAATTTTATGTCTTATAGCTTTCTGCTAATGCATTCATGTTTTCATGTCATAGTCATACCCTTTTATAATTAGCATTCGAATTATACTACAAATGTCATTTTTAATAGCACTCTTTATCAAATGCTGTTTTGATTCTAGGAAAATTATATGGGATTTGGGAAAATGATATTTCAAAGAGAGAAAAAGATACAGGAAAATGATATTTTTGATACTGTGGGTTGCACTTTACATCGGTCCCAAGGCGTCATAACGTGGGGGTGCGAAAACTTTTTCTAAGGAACTCGGTAAAATAGCTTCGTATAGAAACTATAAAGGTCTGTGGTTTAGTGGTATTTTCTCTCCTTTTATAATGAAAGTGGAGAATTCAAGTCCTTTCAAAACTATCGTAAAAGCAATAGTCTGGTTTAATTAATTGGTCAGGTTATTGGGACTGCCTATTTATTTAGAAAAATATTTTTCAAAAAATAAAAAAATAAAAAAAAATAGTGTGGCAAAAACAATATCTTTTATATGGATGACTACAGAATCCTACATATTTTAGAAGTACAATGAACATTAATTATAACTATTTTAAGATTATGGCTAATTCAGTATATATATATATAGATGTATATGTAACATGCCACAGCTTTTTAATTGTAGATATATAGTCTGGTACTACTTGATTATTATTGAAAGTTGCACTATTATTACAACACTGGTTGTCCTTTTCTCAATATGTTTTCAATTTGCTAGCAGAGAAAGGCACACCCTAACCAAATGAAATAATAAATTTTTTTGGATGAGAAGGCCACAAAATGAATTAAGAAATAACACTGGTTGTCCTTTTTTATTTGGATGCTTTTAACAGATATATTCTTATTTTTCTCACAAAATGAAATAATAATTTTTTTTTTTTTTTTTCACTATTTTCATCAAATATGACCACTGGCAAAATAATGTTAAATTCAAAGACAACTTATAGATTGTGATAAAAATATCACTCATTCAATTATTTATATATTCTTCTTGTAACAACTTACATTTGACGTTTTAACAAAAAAAAAAAAAAAAAAAAAATCCTTACATTTGACCACTTTATCGACATTAGGACACAAGTCCAATTATAGGGACCACAGAACCAATGCAGCTGGTAGCATTTATGAGTCTCATTTAGGACTCTAACAAACCATGTGGACAAATCACTCCATTATTACTGATTTGCCCTTGCGTTTCAAGAAAATTTTATGTGCAGTACATGACAAATATGATGTGTTGCCATTAGTTGCAACAGGATTTGGACTCTAACCCTAAACCTACATCAGAGTTTAGCTTAGAAATGAGGAGGATGTAAGATCCATGTAGTATTGCCTTTTTTGTTCGAGACTTTATCGAACCACATACAAAATCTAATTAGTGATGTGACATTAAAATTTAAAGCCTGCCTGTGCACCTTGAGTGAACAGGAGGGTGAATAACTCTCCACAGGAAAGATGCACACTCGTGTTCACCATCTAGTGTACTGGAGAGGATTTAGATTCGGTTACCCTACTACGGGCTTAATAAAAGTTTCATTATTCTTACCCTCCATTTGGAGGTGAAGGCAATATTGGACAATTCCAGTTGAGTAGTTCTTCAATCATTTGCATTGCAATCTTGTTTTCTTCATCCATCTGATCACCAGCTTCAACCCTAGAAGCTGGTGATCCCAATGAGGCTGAGGGTCCATCATCCACACCCTCTGTTTTCTTCCCAAGCTGAACTTTTAGGACCCAATTCGAGCCGGACTGTGATCCGGCTCGCTTCTGCCACACTCCGATGTGAGAGTTATCGGAGTCAAGCCTCAGGCAAGTGAGGGAGGGTGACGGGTCCTTGCAGCATTTTCGGAGCTTCTCGCTGAGGATGCCGGACAGTGTTGATGGAGATAAGGAAGAGTCTTCGCCGGTGTACTCTGCATCACCGGCCACCGGAAAGTTTGTCTTTGCACTTTGGCCGTTCATCAAGACCGCTGCTTGATCATATGCTCTTGCTGCTGCCTCAGCTGTCTCAAATGTGCCTAGCCAAATCCTTCTCTTCCTAAAAAAAAAACAGAGTTTTTATCACAAATAAAAAAAAAAGAAAACAAAAAGAATATGCAACAAAAGTGTGTGTATACATGCACATACAAAGAAAGGTATTACTTGTATGTGAGTGACACACACTGTGTCTATATATATACATATATACGTGTATGTGTATCACAATCTGTCCCAATCAGTTTAGATATTGTCAGCTTTGCACGCTCTTCTTTGCATGCTTATAATTTTGTTCAAAACACTAGGGTTAAAGGAGCATCCACACCTGCAACTTCTCCCCCAAACGATATGGAAGGTCACACAATGTATGTGTGGGATATTAAAGTGGAATGTAAAAGGAATAGAGAGAGATCAAAATGTCATAATTTGGTGGAATACATATGCAACTACTTATGGGTAGCTAATTGTTATCTATCTATGTAAACTGTATCTATCTATATATGTATACATGCTAATAATTTCTCTATTTATATATGTATATATATGGTGATCATAATTAAGTGAAGGAATATAGAATATATTGATGTACAGCAAATGATGGATCATAAGGTATGTTTGAGTGCACGACAGCTTACAGTAATGGGTGGCGAATTTCAGAAACCCAAGAGCCCCACTGGCGTTGCCTGACACCTCTGAACTTGTTCTTCGATGATACCATGTCAGAGAGAGAGAGAGAGAGGGTAAATGGATGAAAGTTGAGGATGAGAGAGAGAGAGAGGAGAGGGTGGTTTATGTAGTTGTCGGTGGTGGCGAAAAGTCTACAAGTACTGTGGGGGGTTGCAATTAAAGTTTGAGCTGTGCATGCAAGACAAATCCATGTGTTCATAACAACTTTAGTTAATGAGCTAGTAAATACTACCACCACAACACAGGCTTGCTTGGTACCCTTGGCTCCTGGCCTCCCTCTCCCTGACTATCACAAGGAATATACATTCAAAAAAAAAAAAAAAAAAAGGGTTGAACGGCCGATTTTAATCATGAGGTTGTGGAGGTTATTTCACTTGGAAGGATTATAAGTTAGTTGGTTATTTCACTTAGAAGGATTATAAGTTAGTCGAACTAACCAGTTGGACATGACAACCTTTTGATTAGAATCGGTTGGTTCTAACTTTTTTTTTTGAATCATTTGGACGTATATAATAACTCCAATTGAACCAGTTCAATATTTTTCTGAACCAATTCATCTGTGCTAGAAATTTCCGAAAATTAGTTTTAATTCAAATTGATTTTTGACACTCTAGAAGACTAGAATTGTGGGGGCAAGTTATTTTTGGTTGTATGAGACTATTTATACCAACCCTAATCAGATTTTAGGGTTTGAGAGACGGTGTGTGCAAAAGTGAGTGAGTCTTTTGTAAGAGACTATCGAGGGATATTTGTGTGAGAATTGTGAGTGTCTTAATTGTTGAGTGATTTTGTGCCTACATTGTTAGGGAAATGGAGTTTTTAGAAATTTTTTTGAGGATTTTTCATATGTGAACCTTGATTTATGTGTAGAGACAAGTTTTATGCAAGAAAAAAATGATATTCTATGTACATGGAGATAGAATACTTGCATCAAATGTTTAAGTAAGCCTCAAATCTCTGCTCTAAAGTAAGTATTCTCATTTATAAAAAGCTTCCATAAGCTTAGCCACGGTGTGCTCCATGGACGTACTCTAAGTTTTAGGTGAAACACGTATATCTTATGCTCTTGTGATTGTTTTTCTTTTGATTACTTGTGATTATTCTTCGGATATTGTTGTTTTTGGGTTTCGTCAAAACTGGGATCATGATATTTTGTGTGTTTTTTCACAACAAAATGTTAGGTCTCAAAAGAGAGATTGTAGCGTTCAATATTGTTTAGGGAGAAGTTGTTAACACATATAAGTAGGGACGGACTCAGAAAAGTATGTGGGGGGGCAATTTTTTTAAAAAAATATGTTGTGGAGATAATAGCGAAGCTTTTTATTTAATTTTAGTTGGGGCAAACTTAGTATTTTGTAAGTATATAATTCAAATAAGTAAAATTAGTGTGAAAAAAAGCAAAAAAAAAAAAAAAAAATCAGTGGCCCCCACTGAGCTCTTTGCAAATCCGTCCTTGCATATAAGCCTAACGTTTCCCACATGTTTTTGAAAATTATGAGTATCAAAAGGGTACAAAGTTGACACTAGTGTGATGCGGATTCTCACAATTAATCTATTATTGGGTTTGACTAAATAAGGAAGAAAAAGAAAGGAAATGATACTTCATGCAGAGAAACCACAATATTGAAATCGTTTTTGGAAACTTGTGAAAAATTAAATGAATTATTTAATAAATTTTTAATTCAACAGTAAGTAGAGCTCATAACTCGTCACGAGAGACTCTCCTATGTGTGTGCGTGTATATATATATATATTGTGGCGATCTTATGGACAGGTGTGTCGTGGGCAGGTGCGAGGTATTGGCATGCAACTACACTGGACGAGTTACGGGTACACAATCCCACATCGTCTGGATAAAAGAAAGGTGAAGTACTTATATGTGGTGGAGTGAATCGTTACAAGTGGTATCAGAACCTGACCTAGCCGGAAGTGTGGCCAACAGGAACGTTGGGCATCAAAGGGGGAGTGATTGTGGTGACATCGAGTGTGCCGTGAGCGGGTGCGAGGCACTGGCAAACAATCACACACACATTCATCCAACAAAGCTGGAACTCAGAAATAAGAATAGAATAATTAAAGAATAGAATAATTAGGTTAACAAACAAAAATGTACAATCATTCCAAATTTTTATAGCAAAACCTGGATTCTTTCTAGTGCATTCCACCAGTGGTGGATTTCTACTACCTATGGTAAATGAATGAAGAAAGAAGAATTTTTTTAAAACCTCTTCCTTCCTAACCATGGCTGTATGTAACACATGATCTCTCTTCTATTATTTATAAATGAGGTATGATTGTACAATTTATAATTAAATTCAGCATGGTCCGAATTAAGAAATTTTTTTATATAGTTTCGAATTACATGGCTCCGGTCAATTACAACTTGACATGTAACTATGCAAATAATTGTGTCAGCAACTCGATAACAACTCACAAGCAAAAAAATAAATAAAGCCCGAAGACATTTACTTGCGTATCAAATTGTGATTGGCCTACCGAGTCAGAATGGACCCAGCTATAAATTCAGATTCTCAAAACCTATGATGATCATTTAGGGCTGACTAAAAGAGGGATTTATTTGCCTTATGATGCTCTCGGTGCAATATTTGAACGTTCATGCTACCAGGAAAGGGAGCCCCTAAGCCCATATCATAAAAGGTTCAAGCCCAATCAATAATGTAATTGGACCACAAGTCACAAGCAAAAGCCCAAAACTACATCATCACTACGACGCCGTTTATTCTTAGAATGCCGAATCTTATAAACCCCATTCAAAAGAATTCCCATTTCTTCACCTCTCACCCATTCAGATTTCTTGCAAAATTCTCCAGCACAATCTGGAATACATTATCTCTCTACAATGCACGTCAATTCAATATATGCGCATATAAAAATATATATATATATATATATATTGACATGAATATACTTATTATATGTTAGCATAAAGTCTCTCCTCTTAATCAGAGTCATCTCTTTCTTGAAAGCAAAGATGACCTTTAGATTCTTTTCTGCTGTGTGTGTATATGTGTGTATACACACACACACACATATACACTATACACACACACACACACACACAGAGTATTATACTGCTATCTCTAAAGGGTGCATACCTCTGCAAAAACAGAGCTATTTGCCTACAACTTGATCAACTCATCTATTTGGCATCACATTAATTGGTTATAAGGTTTGTTTGATACATTTATTTGTGTGTGTATATATATATATATGATTCAGTTCCAACCTTTTCTTTTATATATTATATAAATATATTTCTCTCAATTAATGCATTTATATATATGGTTGGTGATAATTTTGTGATTTGGGTTATTTCCATTTTTTGATTGATTTGATTTTTTGAGGTTTTGCTAGTGTTGCCATGGCTCCACGTTTGCTTCACGGGACGCTTTATGCAACCATCTATGAAGTTAACAGATTAAATACTGAATGTGGGTTCAATTTATGCCGAAAGGTACATCTTTTCTACTCTCTCTCTCTCTCTCTCTCTCTCTCTCTGTCTCTGTCTCTGTCTCTCTCTCTCTCTCTCTCTCTCTCTATTATATATATACATATGCACATTTACATATTTGTGTGCTTGGTAGAACTGGAAAATAGTGATGTTTGATAAAAATGAAAATTAAGCTCCTAAAATTTTAAGACTTGGAATTTAAGTGCTAGAACTGTAAATTTCTTGATACTTGTTTGAATTTCTATACGTGTTCAATATTTTGTGGTATCCTTCACTTAAAATTTCACATTGGAGATTTGTGATGTTGTGGCCTGAATTTTGTTTCGGATCATGAGCGAAAATATTTTTGTCCATTTTTTTTTGCTTGCTGGACGTGGACCCTTATCGGTACTCTCTTGTAGCCTCTATATAAGGGCGCTTGCGGTTTGGAGTGAGAAAATGAGACACGGGAAAGATAGTGAGAGGGAGAACTAGGGTTTGGGGTTACAACTTGTGTCGAACCACGTAAATCTTTGAGTTATTTGTCTGTGACGTGTTTACATTTCTGTTGTGATTTGTTCTTGGTCTGCTGCGTTTGTCGTAACAATAGTAATTTAATATTTAGAATTAAGTACTAAATTGAGAAAGACTTGGTTGTTGTTGAAGTACTAAATTAGATTATGAATATATATATATATATATATATAATGTATGCTATTATTTGTGTGTATTAATATATTGTATGTATTATTTTATCAATGACTTTGAATTTGATCATTACAAAATGGTGATAAAAAAGGATATTCTTAAAATACGAGTGATATGGATCTAATTATTTTTATTTTGTTTACATCTTTTTTTGGGGGGCAAAAAAAGCAGTATGACAATTAATGATCAAAATACATATCCAATGGTGCCTTTTAATATTAGCAACTGAAATTAGAATACCGGATGGACAGCAAGAAAATGAAAGAAACTTAAAATGAATCCATTCTGCAATCTTGACATGGTAAAGGGGACAACATTAAAAGACATGATTAAGAAAGAAAAAAAGATTAATGCATGACTGAAGACAACAAATGCGTTGCCTGTGACTTAATGGAAATTATGGCCCCATATATACACACAAGGTGACATTGTTAGGATAGGACTTCATTGAATTAAATTGAGGTAGCCACACCTCGTAAACATAGAAAGATTGGGACAACAAGTGTTTATATAAGATCTGTGGCCGAAAAAGAGAAAGAGTGACATATTGTTTATGTTTCTTCCTCGACTTTTTTGTCATTTCATAAACTATAAAAATTATTGCAGCTAGTGAAAAAAATAATTCGAGGTAAAAATTAAAATTTCATGGTTACTAGGATAATGACTTGTTTACGTTGATCTCAATGCGAATTTTCTTCGATATAACACCCTAAAAGTGGAGATCAGAAGTAATATTGAGGCTGTTGCAGTGAAGTACTTTGTCCAGGCCTTGGTTTTTATCAGCAGTACTAGTTTCATCTTAAAGTCGAACTTGGTTGCCAAAAAATCGTAGGGATGAAACAACTAATGGATTAGTTTTTCGTGACCTAAATTTGTTCTAGAAATGCTAACCAAGTGACACACTAGGGCCATGGCTTTTTCCGTTTAATAGAATTGGTTTATGTTC